TCCAGGGTTTTGTGAACGTCCTAGTGTATTCTGATTCCTGACCTTGTTGCTGGAGAGAAATGAAATTGAGAGGAGGCACTTCTCTGTTCCACCTTGTGATGTCATGAAGTACAAGTTTTTAAGTGAATAGCTTCTTTTACCTTCTGTTCAGCAGAGATTGGCAATTCTAGATCTGATATCATTCAAATGATTCTAATGAAGGTGCATGGAGTGGAGCACTTCATGTAGTACCACATGTCATCACAAGGTAGAACAGCCTAAATATGCAAAGTTTGTGTGTTAAATATCTGTGAAACAAAACAGTTTCCAGGTATGTTTGTGATGAGGAAATAACATTGTTATATCGATCAGATCACAGCGTAATACAGGCCCTTTAAGTAACTGAGTGCATTTCTTACAATATGAAGGTCATGAGCCAACAGCTGATTGTAACAGTCTGAGGTAAGCCATTGTTTTGACTAAAGATGCATCACTTCTCAGTTTTCTTAGCTGAATTAAAAGCTATAAATTGTCCTGTCTAATTAGCTAATTATTTCAATCCATAAATAAGTACTTTCCACTGACAACATTGACTTTCAACATCTGATCCTGTCTTCTGACTTCTTCCCGTATCTGAGAGCAATATCCCATCCAAATAATTGCCTTCCTTGTTTTGGGGAAATTCAAATGTCAAATTATCACAAATCCTGCATATTTAGGCAGAGTTCTTCTCTCAGACTGAAAACACTCTGTTCTACCCTGTAATGTCATGTGGTAATACAGTGGTAAAAAGTGCTCCGCAGTGTTTTTTCCCCCCATATGCCTTCACTAGAATCGTTTGGCCAATTTCATCCCTGGAATTCCCAAATCTCTACTGAACAAAAGGTAAAAGACAGGTATTAACTTGAAAACTACCATTACATGACATCACAAGGTGGAACAGAGCATTTTAAGCCATGGAGATGTAGACAGACTAATAATGCAGGATTACTCATGTGTGAATGAAACAGAACACAACTCCAGGTATGTTTTTGATGAGGTAACAACATTATAACATGACTAAAGCTCACAAGAGTCAGTTTTGTGTAATCAAGGACTTTTAACAATTGTGATATGAAATTTGCTCAATTCAATAAATTCAACAAAGCAAAAAAAATAAATAAATAAATAAAAAATCTACAACTCAAAGCAAAAAATAAATAAATAAATCTACAACTCAAAACTACTGAAATGTCAAATTCCACAATAGTTCACTTAGCTCGTGAACTTTTACCCTTGATGTATGAGGTCACATGTTTGCGCGCACACACTAACTCATTGTTGTGTCTCTGGCCAATCACAGGCTTGCGTTTCCAGAACTACAGCTTTGTTCATCTTCCACCTTTCACCTGGCAACTTCCACCTGTCTAGCTCTTGACCTCTCCGTGCTACTCAAAAACCCAGTCATTTAAAGGTGCACTGCTTAACATTTCTAGTGAAGGGTTTGCCATACTTCAAGGAACTGCTCACCCATTTACACACACGCACATACCCCCACACACACAGAAACGGACAAGCATTCACCTGTCCTTGTGTCTGGACTCGAGCCGCCAACCTTCAGATCCATCCTGAACTACTGTATCTCCAGCTTTGTCTAGAATGTTCCACAGTATAAAACAAACCCATTTATCACGAGGGAGACAAGCAGGTTACAGCACTACACAACATTACATTACAGTTCAGATCTGTGGAGAGTCGCCCCTATTCACAGATGAAATTCATGTATTTTTGAGCAATAGAAACACCTGCAATGAATAAATGCCAGATGGAAATGTTTAATGTCACACCATGGAACATTCCTGGGAAAGCAACAACATCTCCATGGAGACAAGCACGCAGCGAACCCACCATAAGAAATACCGCAGTACAAATTTAAAGGAGCATTCTGTAGCTTTTTTTGATTGGGAGTCCGCCACCTGCTTGTTTCTGTGGGCATGTCATTTCTCGGGCTGAAATGTTCCGCAGTACGACATTAAACAACTCTAACTTACATTTATTCATTTACAGGTGGTTTTAAAACTCAAAAACATCTAGAAAATCAGCCCTTCTGACTGTGAGCGGGGTTGCCTCTCCACAGATTTCACCTATAACTTACTCTGGTTTGGTCTCCATGGAGATTGAAAGGTTTAATGCTATACTGTGAAACATTCCAGGCAAAGCAATAACATCTCCACGGAGACAAGTGGATAGCAAACCCTCCACGAGAAAAAAGGCGCAGTGTACCTTTAAGTAACCATTCATTCCATCTGCTATCAATATCTGTACATGTACAACCTTGCCCCTTTTACCCCACATGTGTCACGTATATTATGTTGACAGCTTGTTCTGCTTTGGCCCTGGTAAACATAAAATGGCCCCCGTGCTGTCTGGCCCTTGAGTTATTGTGCCCGATTACGCCTATAACTCGTGACCCTCTCTTTGGTGTAGCATGTAATGGCGTAATTGCTGGCAGCCGGGGTAAATAGGGGGTCAGTGTTTTCAATGCACAAAGCCCACTGGAGACTCTTGTAAATGGCTGTTCTGGTTAGCGCATTGTATGGAGCTCAGGCAGTTGCAGCAGGCAGATAAGGCTCTATACTAGCCCCTCATTGAGCCATGGTTTTGTTACACTTTAAAGCACCCATATTACACTATTTTTCTAATCTACAGTATGTTGTAATGTTGTTTTCTTGTCACAAACATTCTTGGAGTTGTGTTTTGTTTCATTCACACATGTTTAACACACAAATCCGGCTTATTTAGGCTGAGTTCTTCTCTCAGAAAACGCTTTTGTGATGTCATGTGATTGTACAGGAAGTGCTCCATTGTATTTTTAAACTCCATACACCTTCACTAGAATCATTTGGATGATTTCAGCCCTGGAATTGACTCTATAAATCTCTACTGAACTAAAGGTAAAAGGTAGCGGTTAACTTGAAAACTACCACTACCACTTTATGACATCGCAAGGTGGAACAGAGCATTTTAAGCTTTAAAGATGTAGACTGATAATAAAGGGTTACTCATGTGTATGAAACAAAACACAACTCCAGGCATGTTTTTGATGAGGTGACATGACTCAAAGCTCACAAGCGTCCGTTTTGTGTAATATTGGATCTTTAAGCGTCCACGTTGTCGTCCTGGGAGACTCTTGTAAATAGCACATTGTATGGAGCTCAGGCACTGGCAACGGGCTGATAAGGCACTATGCTCGCCCCTCATTGAAGAATGGTTTTGTGTGCAGTTCATCTGACTGCTATCACTACACTTTAAACCTCCACATGGCTGTCCTGCGTGTGCACAATGACGCTAGTGTTTTGCGGAGATAGTGCTTTTATTACACTCGTCTGGTTGGGTTGCCTTAATTAAAATGGTTGTGATTTGATGACAGAGATGTTATGTATGCAATGTTATGCTTTAAAGTAGCTCAATATAACAATTAGACTGGTATTTTACATTTTATAACACATGGGTCTTATTTTTATTGACAATATTGACAACAATTGGAATAGATGTGCCCGCAGCTTGTAGAAGTCTTTTAGAATGACATAAGCTGCAAGGACAGGTTAAAGGTCCTATATTACATAAACCTGATTCTTGTGAGCTTGTGTTATAATGCTGTTATCTCATTAAAAACATGATAAGTAAACCATGTTTGAGTAATCCTTTGTTATTAGTCTGTCTACATCGCCAAACCTCAAAATGGTCTGTTCCACCTGATGTCACATAGTGGTAATTTTCAAGTTAAGAGCTGCCATTTACCCTTCGTTCAGCAGAGATTGGCAATTCCAAAGATGAAATGATCCAAATGATTCTATCAAAGTCGTATAGAGTTTAAAAACACAGTGGAGCACTTCTCGTATTATTGCACAAGGTGATCTCATCTTAAATGTGCAAGGTTTGTGTGTTAAACAATGACAAATTGGACTACACATTTTACTAAAACATAGTTAACACACTTATATTTCAAGATTTGATCAAAAATTAAACTTTTTTTTTTCGCAATTTTTTTAGTTTTGTTGAAGTTTATAATTTTACTTCCTAATACTTCCTGTAGAAATATAGAGGTAATTCCAGAAATGTGACCTACAAACCATGATGTTAGCAAGGGCCAAGACTATTATGATTAGACTAATAAAAATACACAACACACCTTTATTTTGTTAAATGAAGATTTAAACTGCGAGAACAAAGCCTTCCTTGCTCGTAAACTGGGTGGATTTTTTTTTTGTGTGTTGATGACATCGATGATAGGATAGGTATTCTGTTTTAGAATTCACAATTACTTCCTCTATTTTTGAATGTATTCTCCACTAACTGATGTAAAACTATGATAACTATTTACTCATCGAACCAAGTGATAATTAGAAAACCCTGAAAACCTGTCATATGCACTTTAAAAAGGTCCTGTATTACACAAAATTGACTCTTCAAAAATCTACCTGAAGCTGTGTTTTATTTTATTCACAAATGTTTGAATAATCCTTTATTATTAGTCTGTCTACATCTCCAAAGCTCAGAATGCTCTGCTCCACCTTGTGATGTCATGAAGCAATAGTTAAGCGACTACCCTTTACCTTTAGTTCAGCAGAGATTGACAATTCCAGGGCTGAAATTATCCAAATGATTTTAGTGAAGGTGTTTGCAGTTTAAAAGCATAGTGGAGTTGACATTATAAGGTGGAACTGGGTGTTTGAGAAAAGAACTGAGCGATATGGGCCCTTTAAAATAAGACATAAGATAAATCCTTAAGATCTGACTTGAATAGCTGAAGAAAAACCCGTGCGTAATGACACTGGCAATAACCCCGTACACTACAATAGCCCGGTGCACTGCTGCCATAGAGATGCCACAGAGCACCATCACGCCACGGACATTTAAATGCCCAGGTAACGCTAAAGCACCGCGCGAACACAGATCAGAGCAGCCACAACAAACTGGCGCATATCAAGCCAGCAAAAGCGCACGCATAGGTGTATTTGATTAAAGTGAATCGTACTCACCGGCATCATTTTAGCTTCGTACCGCATTTAGCTCGCCCTCAGCATGAATCCACGACAGTTTCGACGAAAGCGGCAAGGCTCTGGAGCTCGATAATCCCAGATCCTAAAGCCGCGATGGGAAGAAGGCTACTCTTGCTTCGCTACGGGGTCCCGTCCTGCAAACAAGCAAAAAATCAGTCCCGAGATGTCCCGTAATGCCGTAGGATCGCAGATCTACGGGCTGGATGCTCTCCCGGCTCTGCCGCTGACCTGTTGCTACAAATAACAGGCCTTCACGACAAAAGTTTCCGCCGTAGTTCAGAGAGCATCGCTGGTAACTTTATGAAGGCGCCGCGGAACACATCAGACGCAATTATGAGGCGGTTATCCAACGCAAAAGACGCGCATAAGGAACTGTGCGCGTACGACCGGTTTTATTAGCAGATTACTTGCCTGGGACGAGCAGATTATTGCCAAAAGCCCGTAGCTGTCGGCGGTGCTCGTCTCTACTCGGCCGATCCCAGAGTGACGTAGAGGGAGGAGCTTCGGGACACTTTGGAATTCTGGCTCCGCCTCTTCACGGGACACGGGACACACACAACACTCCCACAGTGCGCACACTCCAGTCCCCTAGTATAAAGTCTTTTCTATATCTCTTTTTTATATTCACATACCTTCTTTCCTTTTATTTTTATGATTTTTTTTTTTTCATTTTTAGTTTGTTTGAAAGAATTGATTAAGTTAAAATTGTCTATTAAAAGACCGGTTCATTTATGTATTTATTTATATCTTCTGTATGAAAAAAAGACCCTGGATCACGAATCACATGCTGCTGCTTACTGCTAAATTTATGTTTTATTTTTCCACAATCATTAATAAAATGTAGCTTTCCTGAAAATAAATTCTGTACTAGGGTGACCAGAGTTTCAAAACAAAAATTGATTGGTAATAAAACGATGGTGCGTAATTAAGAACAATTATTATGCAGAGACCATTCATGACTAACATGAGTCAGTATAGTCACATTTTCTTTGTGTTTTGGTCATTTTTAAGCAGACCTTTTGTATTTTACCTAAAGAAATTGCAATTTATGACTCTCTTCACTGTTTGCAGGTGTCAAATTGGTCAAAAATATGGACACCTGGGACATTTCTTGTTTAAAACTGCGACAAATCACTGATTTTGAATAAATCTGCTGGGACAGAGGACAGGGAGCTCAAAACTTCGACTGTCCCGGGTAAATAGGAACGTCTGGTCACCCTATCCTATACGAATATACCTTTAATCATGCAACAGAAACTATCTTTAATTTGATAGACCGAACTACAACTCCCAGAATCCTCTTTCTACGGCAAGGCGCGCAGCCCAAACCCGCATGCACGCAGCCAGCAGCCCTTTGCACGTTTTCTGTCGCCGTTGTGCAGGTGCTTTGCATACACACGTCTCCTCCTCGCCTCCTCTGCTCCGTGCGGCTCCCGGTGATCGCACTGTACCGGAGTCATGGCTGATCCGGTAGCCGACATGTGTGAACGGCTCGTCAAAGCTGTCAACCTCATCATGGATCCACAAACTAGCCAAATGTTCCGACTGGAGGCCCTGAAGGTACACCCACTGGAGCTACTGCTAGTTAGCTGTTAGCCGTTTTTGCATGTATTTTAATCCTATATAGCAATGCATACTATTTGGGTAATTAAGCTAGCACATCGTAATCAAGAAATACGTAACTTTACGCAGTCAGAACACGGAACACGATTCGGAACACTTTACGGTCAAGCTTTGAACATATGCAGATGTTGTTAGCTCTCGTATCTTAGCAGCGATTCATTCATTGAAACATCTGCTTCTCCGCTATGGTGACCTAACAGACAGATAGATTAGCGAGATAAAAGCAATCACTGTTATTTTATTGTTGCATTGTTCTTGTTAGCATTATGGCATTCACGATCTGCTTCATAACGCGGTCATATCTCTTTGTTATTATACAGTTTTGTGAGGAGTTTAAAGAGTCAAGCTCCCTCTGCATTCCATGTGGTCTCAAACTAGCCGACAAAGCCCATTCAGCTGTAATAAGGCATTTCGGATTGCAAGTCCTGGAACATGTAATCAAGTAAGTCGATTTTAGATTTAATTGTCAAATATTACACAAAATGGATAATTATTAATTATTAGCTTTAAGGCATGTTATAATGCTGTTACCTCATCAAAAATATATCTGGGTTTGTGTTTTGTTTCATTCATACATGTCTAAGCAAGTCTTTATTATTGGTCTGTCTACATCTCCAAACCTCAAAATGCTCTGTTCCACATTGTCATGAAGTGGTAATTTTCAAGTTACGTACCTACCTTTCGCCTTTTGTTTAGTAGAGATTGGCAATTCTAGAGCTGACATCATTCAAATAATTCGAGTGAACATGTATTTTGTTTAAAAACACGGTGGAGCACTTCCTGTATTTCCACATGACCCCACAAAGTGGATTATTTTCAGTTTAAGAAAAGAACTCAGCATAAATACACAGTTTTGTGTGTTAAACATGTGTAACTGAAACAAAACACAGGTCCAGGTATGTTTGTGATGAGGAAACAACATTATAGCATATATCAGAAAATAGCATAATATGAGCCCTTAAAATGCATAGAAAGAGTTTATCATGATTGACATTTTTATTGATTATTTTATGTGTATATTTTTACAGATACAGGTGGAATAACATGGCACAACATGAGAAAGTGCAACTAAAGGAGTGTGCCATGCAGCTGTTGTCAAGTGTATGTAGTGTTTTCACAATACTACAATTTCAAGCTTGATTTTGGGACAAAGGAATAGACTCTACCAATTCAGATAACATGATGATAATACAAAAACACTCTTTCTTTAGTAGCATGTGATTTCCAACATTAAATCATAGTACTACTTCTTTTATATCCCATGTGGTCTTATATCTGTGTCTCAGTGCCTCAGAGGTCTTGGTAGGTTCCGTAGTGGTCCATCGGCTGTTAGACTCTTTCATGGTTATAAGTGTGTATTTCATATTAACTTTGCGTAGGTTGTTTATCAGATAAATACTACGTTATTGTGAGCCATGTATTGAGTATTATATTGAATCGTGAGACCTTGTGATTGCCAACCTTATTTGCCTACATCTCCTCATACTATAATTCTAATTCCTTATGCTATAATTTAATTCTGGGGCTTGTTCGGACAACACTTTTTTTTTGTAGCTGTATTTTTATCCATTGCTTTCTGTAGGGTACCCGCTCAGTGCTGGAGGAGGAGAGCCATATCAAAGATGTCCTCTCCCGAATCACCGTGGAGATGATCAAGAGGGAGTGGCCTCAGCACTGGCCGGACATGCTGAAGGAGATGGAGGCACTGACCAGCCAAGGGGTCAGTGGATATTACATAATCCAGGAAAAACACTGTTACTCTGCACTGCATTGTTTTTCCCCCATTGTTTTTTTAAATACAATGATGTTTTGGTCGGCATGCAAATACAAGCATATGTGGAGGAAATTCTTTGCATATGACTCATCTGCTGCAGAGATTAACATTACACTTAGTTATGTATGAAGTTTTTTCTGCTAAAAGATTCATTTTGATTCCTACTATCTTTATTATTGTGTGTATTTTATTCATTTTTTCTAGCAAAGTGTCACGAAGTACTCACATTTGTAAGAACAACTATCAAAAGGGTTGCCTATTCCCTTGTACCTTAAATTTACCTCAGTTAGGTCCAAACACGAGACACCTACCTCCTTCAAAATACAGAAAAGAAGTGGCAGGAAAAAGGATTTAAGATGCTTTTCCAGAAGTAAATAAACAAAAAGTTTAAAGAAAAGAAAAAAGGAATTAAGGGTGGGCGGTCACAATCAGTTAGTTTAGTAAAGTGATTGTGTCCACCAGCAACAAAAGAGTGCCATGTTGGGACTTTAAAAATACTTAATTTTTAACATCATATTGACTCCATAAAATAAAGAACATTATTTCAACTTATTCATATTTTCACCACTTTATTTATTTCTTTATCTATATCTTTACTTTCTGATATTAATAATTAATACATTGATTATTGTGGCTGTAAAGACTAGATTGAAATTAAGGATTGTTGCTTCTAAATTCTTTGCATTACCCATCAACAAATGAATTATTCTTGACATTCATAATTACACTTTCTAATAAGACTATGTAAAAGGTGTATAAAACTGTCCATTTAACAGAATAAAGTGAAAGTTTGTTGTGTTTGTATTTCTAGGAGGCTCAGACAGAACTGGTGATGCTGATCTTGTTGCGATTGGCCGAGGATGTGATCACCTTCCAGACCCTCCCCACCCAAAGGCGCAGAGACATCCAGCAGACCCTCACCCAGAACATGGACAGCATCTTCAGCTTCATGATGGCCATTCTGCACATGAATGTGGAGGACTATCGCAGAGTGGTGAGTGCATTTTATTAGTTTTTTCGCTCCCAAGTCATATTTAAGTGGTATTTATTTTTTTTCTCTCTCTGGATGTTTATTTTTGAAATTCTAGGATCTAGTTATGTTACACCCATTTTTGGAGAATATAGAAACACAGAAATAAAAATGATGACTGCCAATGATGTTCATTTTGTCTTCTTATATACTTATATACTTCTTCTTATATACTTATATACTTATATACTACACCTAAGAAGTTAAAAATGATGACTTCTGATTACTGGCATTATATTAGTTTTAATATGCTGGTTTTGAATTGTTTAAGTTTTTAATTGTACACACTAACTGGGTGTGCTTTACTTGAAATGTTCCATAATATTGCATTAAAGGCATCCATTTTGCATTATATTTAAATGCAGGTGGTGACATCTGCTTGTCATCATTGAGATAGACAGGTTTAATGCCATAGTGTGGAACATGTCAGGCAAAGCAATAACATCTCCCTGGTGACAAGCAGGTGGCGGATCCTCCACCAGAAAAGTTGCATAGTGCACCTTGAATCCATGTTTGCTTTTAAAAATTGATTTCTTCTGTATTTTCTTTCAGAAATCTGTGCCTGAAATGGAACTAAAGGTGAGATATTAAGCATTACCTCCCTGATTGTTTTGCATTCCAGTCATATATTATTGATATTGTGAGCGAGCCCTAATATAAATGCTGGATGAAGCTTTGTCCCTCTTGCACAACTTCTCAACAATAATCAAACCTTCCCTCTCCTGGCACTGCTTGTTTTGCAGGCCAGAGCTCACTGCCGGGTTGCCGTGGCGACGCTGAACACTCTGGCAGGGTACATAGACTGGGTGAGCCTGGCACACATCACCAACAACAACTGCCAGCTCCTGGAGATGCTGTGTCTGCTGCTGAGTGAACCCGAGCTGCAGCTGGAGGCAGCAGAGAGTCTGCTCATTGCCATCAGCCGCAAGGTGAGGCTAATGCTAAACAAGTGGAACTTAAAGAGCCTATATTATGCAGGAATCAGGCTTTTGGAGCTACTTTTCAGCTGCCTTAAGGAGTAGTTCATATTTTACTATCTAATATAGCCTAATATAATGTCCTTATCTGCTGTATAGTTATAATATATGTCTTGTAAATCATTACTTTGTATTTTGGACATTTTCAATCATAATACTTATCTGAAACAATTCAATTAAAGAAACAAGTCTTCTAACTTCCAGTCGAAAACTGGCAATGATTTGATGATGCACCTTTATGATACATCACCATAAATGTAATGACAACAAACTACCGTGCTGCTGGACCGTGCTGCGGATAGCTGCAGTTCAAAGTAGCGAGCAGCAGATTTTTTAAATTTGTGCCAAAATGGCTTCACTTTTAAGAAAATATATTACATCTAAAAACAAAGTAAGCAATGAGACCAGGAGAATAAAGTAAAAGTAATAAAATGAGTAATTCAGCCGCGATTTTATGAGCTTTGAACTTTGAAGCTAGCAGTTATTCAAGACATTTTCAGAGACATTTTTTTTGATGAAGAGCTCCATCTTTGATTCAGACAAACTTTATTGCAGGAAATTACTTGGACTTGAAATGGTTTGTAATTTTAGCTCTGCAGTGGGTGAGTTTACTTGGAACATGCTTAAATGAGTCTAACCATCAGGTATATTTTCAACAAGGAAAAAACTGCCTTTAAAAACTACAAAATTATAACATGATTAAAATGTTTTTGCACAATATAGGATCTTTAAGATTCACCCACATGCTTGCAATGACTATTTCGATCTTTGGATGGTAATTCTCGCCTTTGTGATGTGATGATAACGGTTGTGTTGTTACAGGGAAGGCCAGATGAGAGGAAACCCTTCATGCTTCTCTTCGGGGACGTGGCCATAGACGTGATCCTCTCTGCTGCTCAGTCTGTACCACTATAATCCATTTCTAATTATACCTTTTATCTTTTGCTGAATTCTGAGTATCTTTGTTGTTGTTTTCTCACAGGTCAGCAGATGGACTGGCTGTTCAGAAATCGCCTGATGGAAGGTAAGTTGATTATCATAATAATCTGTAATCATAATAAACTGTAGATTTTTTTTAAAGTCACTACTATGTTCAAATCTTTATTTATTTTTTGCACAGTTCAGTGGAAGTTGTGGAGCGACGTTATGTCTTCCTGAAGAGGCTTTGTCAAGTGCTGTGTGCGATGGGGAGCCAGATGTGCTTTTTAGCTGTAAGTGAAGTTTTGCTTAATACTAATTTGGATATTTTTAGCAACAACACTACTCATAAATTGACAGTGTATGATAATTTAGAACAAATTTAACTAGTGTCTAATTAACATAATAATCAACCTTTTCTCTCAAATTTAAAGGTGCATTGTGTATCTTTTACTATTGGGGGGTACGCTACCAGCTTGTCTTCATGACAGTGTTATTGTTTTGCTGGGAAAGTTCCACAGTATTGCATTAAATGTTTCTTTCTAACATTTATTTTATAACAGGTGTTTTTATTGCACAAAATTACCTTAATGCATGTTATATGCATTCTCACCATTTCCACTGATCTGACCTGTAACTTGACCTGATGGTGCCATCTGCTTGTCTCCGTGGAGATGTCATTAGTTTAATGCCATACTGTGGGACATTCTAAGCAATGCAATAACATTTCCACTGAGACAAGCAGGTGGTGACCCCCTACCAGAAGAGTTACTTAGTGCACCTTTAACCACAAATTTGAAGTAAATCAAAGCAAAAAAAAAACTATTAATACTTGGAAATCATGTTTGATTAAGAGAAAAGTATCTAATTTGCAATTTATGAAGTTTATATTTTAAACATGTCCAAGAGAAAAGACAAAAAGACTGAAATATGAACTGACAACTAACAGAAGAAAACATGTTTGTTCCGATCTAAACTACAGGGTTAGTTTTCATGTATAAATAAGACAGGAGATTTTGTTGTTTGTGGAGGAAATTATAGTACTTCAAAAACTGCAGCCTTTGCTATTTAATAATTTTCTGCTTTGTTGGTTTTGTGTTTGTATAAATGATAATGATACTCTTTCTCTACAGGGTTCTGAATTAGGCATTGAAATTCCTGCAAATCTCTGCAAGTACACTGAAGCCCTCATGGCCTTCACCACACACACAAGCCATGTGAGTTTGGGTTTTCATTCCTCGAAAATTGTCTGTTATTATTCTTGTTAAAATGTGTTATTATGCATCTCTGAACAGTTTTTGAAAATGTCCACTCTACCGACTTGGGGAGCGCTGTTCAGACATGAGATCCTGTCCAAAGACCCAGTGATTGTGGAGATGGCCAAGAAATACATGAAGACGTGTATGACTAATTTAGTCAAGGTGAATTTTCTTAAAGGTCCAAAACTGACTCTTGTGAGCTTTAAGCCATGTTAGAAAACTGTTACCTCCTGAAAAACATACCCTTAGTTGTTTTGTTTCACACATGTTTGAGTAATCCTTTATTATTAGTGTGTCTACATCCCCAAAGCTTAAAATGCTCTGTTCCACACTGTGATGTCATGCAGAGGTAGGTTTCCAGATTAACAGCTACCTTTTACCTTTAGTTCAGTAAGTAAGTTTAAATTCCAGAGATGAAATTATCCAAATGATTCTAGTGAAGGTGTATAGGGTTTAGAAATACACTGAAGCACTTCCTGTATTACCAGATTGACATCACAAGCTGGAACAGAGTGTTTTTTGTTCGAGCGATGAACACAGCCTAAATATGCAGGATTTGTGTCTTATACATGTGTGAATGAAACAAAACACAACTCCAGGCATGTTTGTGATGCGGAAACAATGTTATAACATAGATCAGAAAATGGCATAATATGGGCCCTTTTAAAAGCATTAATCCTTTCAAATATTTACTTTTTTCAGACGGGGTATCCATCAAGAAATGACCACCCGAGCTGTATGTACTCCAGAGTGGACTTTGACAACGATGAAGATTTTCACTCATTTTCTATTGGTAATTTAATCATTTTATTTACAGCACGAAATAAATTGCCTATTTTTCAATCATGGAAAATGCATGAAAATGAAAATCAAGGTCCTGGAAATTATTGATTTTGTCAAACTTCGATTTGCAATATTATATGATATCAAATTATTAGACTTTTACTGTCACCTATTACATCGGGTGTTTTTTTTTTTTTTTTTTTAAATTTACCAAAATGCAGGAAATCACACCTATTTTACACAAAATTTCTAGGTGAGGGACCCTCAAACCCCCCAGACGTCTTTCATCTTACCTGACCTTAATGTCACATAGGCAGCAGAAAATATTATTGTGTCATCTACATAACAAAATATATAGTGTGTTTGTCTTAGTGTATAATTAAATTGCAGTAATTGTGGACTTTGTGTATAGCCATAGGTTTAGACCATCCCTTTTACATTACAAAAATATATATGAACAGGCAGGTAATTGGTGAAACTGTGATAACATAACTAAAAATGTCCTGGAAAAGTCCTGGAAAATAATTTCAAGCAAATAGTGGGAACCCTGATTATTTTACCATGCTGTTGTTTTAGTGTTCCGTGCCCAGCAGAGTGACATGTTGAGGTTGGCATGCCGGATTGCTCCTCTAGAAGCTTTCCAGATTGTAGCTGAGTGGCTCCAGTTCCAGATCGCCAGTCCTGTTGATATCGGGGATGCCAGCAGTGAGTTATGATGCCATTTACTTTAGCTGAATAAACTAGCATAAACATGTCTCTTACTTTATTGTGTTGTCATTAGCGACCTCTTCGGAAGGTATGTGCTCCATCCTGTCCCCGTCTGTGATCCAGTGGGACGCAGAGACGATATTTATGGAGTGTTTGGTTGGACAAATCTTCAAATATGTGGAAGCAGAGGTAACACTGAGCAAAAATGTATCTGTTTACATAAAGATGCACTATGTAACTTTCCTGGTAAGAGTCCTGCACCTGGTTGTGTCCATGGCGATATGGTAGAGAGGTTGCTTTCCCTGGAATGTACCACAGTAGGGCATTAAACTTGCTTATTATTTAGTTATTATTTAGCGTTTTTACAATAAAACAATACCTTGAAAAATATGAATTCGGCTGTAAGTGGCCCACCTTTCCACAAATCGGACCTGTAAATTGGCATGGTGCTCATCTCCATGGAAACAGGTAAGTTTAGTGTTATACTGTGAAAAATTCCAGGCAAAGCAACATCTCCATTGTGGCAGACCTTCTACTCTAAAAGTTATACAGTGCACCTTTTAAAATAAAACATAATATTGAATTGTCTGTTAATGTGCTCTTTATGTTTTATATTCAGAAGTTGCCCATAGAACAGAGTGTGGAGCTTCTTCAGGCTCTGCTCAACTATGAGACCAAAGACCCTCTCATCCTGTCCTGCGTCCTCACCAACATCTCAGCACTGTTCCCTTTTATCACACACAAACCACAACTGCTGCCTCCAGTCCTATATAAGGTAACAACTTGCAGTCATTAGCATTTTTATTCTTAAGTTAGTCATGTCCAGTTTTCAGATCTCATCATATACATTACACAAAATTGACTCTTAGGAGATTTAAGCCATGTTATAATGTTGTTACTGCATCAAAAACAGAGCTGGAGTTGTGTTTTGTTTCATTTACGTGTTTGAGTAATCTTTTATTTTTAGTTTGCGTACATCTCCAAAGCTCAAAATGCCCTGTTCCACCTTGTGATGTCATGTAGTGTTATAGTTTTCAAGTTAAAGGTTACCTTTAGTTCAGGAGAGATTGACAATTCCAGGGCTGAAATTATCCATATAATTCTAGTGAAGTTGTATGTTTAGTTTATGTTGACTTTAAAAACACACTCAAGCACTTCCTGTATTATCACATGACATCACAAGGTGGAACAGTTTTTTGTTTAAGAGAAGAACTCAACTTAAATATGCAGGATTGTGTGTTAAACATATGTAAATGAAACAAAACACAACTCCAGGTCTGGTTGTAATGAGGAAACAACATTCTAACAGATCAGAAAATAGCATGATAAGGGGCCTTTAATCGGGTAATAATGAGTAGGTTTGATTTCATTGCTTTCACAGGTTTCAAGATATTTCTGATTGGTTTCAAGATCATTTAACTTCAAATGAGAACAAAAGAATCTCAGATGGTGCAAGTAAAAAAAAGAAAGAAAGAAATACACCATTGGAAAATAATTTGTCTTAAAAATAATAAGTAATGTATTGAAACAAGTAAGAAACAGGTTGTCTTTTGCGATATATCTGTACTGGGGGAAGACCCATTTTACTTTATTGCATGAAAAAGTCTGGTACAGCCCCTTTAATATATAAAAACCAAAAATAAACACTTAATTTCTCTTGCTTATTCTAGTCTTAGTCTAGTCCACACTTTTGAGCTCTAGAAATATCTGAAAGTGGTCCGGTAAAACATGTTTTTTGATTTTTTTTTTTTTGATAATCGTAACACCCTATCATACCATCATTTAAACTAATGGCTCCTTTAATATCTGTATTTAAATTAATACAATAATCTATTTCCTTACAGCTATTCAAATCTGTCACCTTTGAGACAACCCAAGGCAAAAATGTAAGTTTAATTTACTTCATCTACTTCATTTTACATGTATTGTAATTTTGATCATAATTAAACTAGTTCTTTGTGACTCTCCACAGGTGCCCCGGACACGAGCTGTAAAGAATGTTCGGAGGCACGCCTGCTCCTCCATCATCAAAATATGCAGAGACTATCCAGACTTCCTTGCGGTAAATTTAACCTACCCTTTTTCCATATTTATCATATATTTATACTTTTTTTTTACAAGTTAAAGTTACACAATGTAATTTTTGGTTGCGGGTCTTGTTTCTTTGGCCATGTCATTTGCTTGTCTCTATGGAAATGTCATTGCTCTGCTCGGAATGTTCCACAGCTCTACCTTTTAACGTTTAATACCAAACTGTGAAACATCTCAGTGAAAAAAAGCATTTGACGCACCCTCAACCAGAAAAGTTACACAATGCACCTTTTAAGTGTTTTTCAGTCTGTGAATTTGAGTTTGCTGTAATATCAATTATCACATCATGTTGTAAAATGGATACTTTTTTATATTTACCTTTTTCCATTTTCTTGTGTGACCATTTCTTCTTGCAGCCATGTTTCGACATGTTCTATGACCACATGAAGACCTTGTTTGACACGGACCCCACCATCACATATCTGGAGAAGTGTGCCCTGATGGAGGCTGTGGTCCTAATCAGTAATCAGTTTAAGGACTTCTCCAAACAGAAGGCCTTCCTGGAGGATCTGCTTGCCCCAGTGGTTTCAGACTGGACGTCAGAGGAGCTGAGCCTGTAAGTTACCACACACAGAGTTTATGAAGTTTTTTAAAGTTGTATCCCTGGGTTTCAGCTTCCTGTTTATAGGTGATATCTTGAAAACTTTTGCACACTCATAAGATATAATATTTTATTCAGAATTGTTAATCACTATGGCAACAACTAGATTTACTTTTTTGGAATGAAATAACCAAACCTATGATGAACAAATAATTAATATAATAATGACAGTCACATCTTTAGTGTGGATTGCATTGCATTGACAGTTGCCACTTTCTGAGATTATTGTAAAAAAAATTCATTTGTTTATTATGTTGAACTTTGCAGCAGAAATTAGTTTCATGTGGATAGGCTCAGTAATTAGAGATATTAACCATAAACCTGGTCAACAAATTTGCAATTTGACAGTTGTATTCAGTTGTCTTCTGTTTGCATTCATTTTGTTTGTTTGAGCAACACGCCTGTTTTGCTGGGTTTCAGATGACATGAAAGCATTCTATAGGCCAATTTTAATGAATATAGATAGGGGGCCACTAAAATTTAAATTGTTAAAATATAAAATTGATCAAACTGTTGTAATGCAGTTTGATCAGTAATAGAAAATACCAGGTTCAACATTCGTGCATTTATCTTTTGGACATTTCATGGCAAAGTATGTGAGTATGTGATCAATAGGGAAAACTGGCTCTTGCCCCTCATTTGGGAGTATGACATCATCACATTCTACAATCTGTGTACTGTAAATTACCTTATTGGTAGTTTTCAACGTTATATGTACTTGTACATATGTTGGTACTCAAAAGGAGTGGGTTGAAGTTTAGAAAACTTATTGAGTTCTTTCCCATTTGTTTAATATCGGCATGTATTTAACACTTTTAAACCCTTTTCTGTTTTGTTTCAGTGTGTTGTCAAACCCGGCCATGTTCCTGTCCTTTGTGGGGGCGGATCAGGTCATCACGGAGCAGAACAAAGAGCCGGAGTCTATCAGCTGTAACAGAGCGCGGGTGAGTTATAAGAAGTGGGGAAAGGGCTTGTTGTATTTTTATTTTTATTGATTTTAAGATACTTTAAAAAAGAAGAAGAAGAAAGAAAAACTAAAATAAATACGTAAAACCCTAAATTACACAACTTGTACATTTTACTAGAACATTTTTATTTCATGTTTTTTGGAATTTATTTACTCTTTTTTTTTAATCATAAATTAAATCATACTTTTTTTTTTCTATGAGACCCACTTTTGTTGTTTTTGGCCAGACTTTATATTATGTAATTCTTTTTATGAATTTCCCCAGCATGTTTTAGCTGTGAGCTTATTGTCTTCCTAAGTAGAATCAGAATGTAACTTCACCACCAGTTCACTTAGTTTTCATGTCCAAAAATAACTAAATAATTGATAACATTTATCTATTGTGCAAAAAATATGTCACCGAAAGAAATGGCTTAAAAAATGTAAAATATATAAATAAATTAAATTATAAATAAAAGTACATGTTATGACATTTTAGAATGAATGCCTTTTCAAATGAGCATCCAGTTTTGGTATCATATTTTCTTTTTGTTTCTTTTATCTAACCCTTTCTCTCCTCTCTCTAGCTGAGTTTCTGCCTGTACGTGCTCTCTGGCGTGTTCAAACGCACTCGATGGCCCACAGACCTGGAGGAGGCCAAGGCCGGGGGGTTCGTCGTGGGATATACCCCGAGCGGAGACCCCATCTACAGAAGCCCCTGCTACTCCATATTTTTAGCCCTGATGCCCAACCTGTTTGCACTGATACGGTATGCCTACTTTAACCTTTAACCTACTACTAAACTGTGTATATTGTCTTTTAATAGTGCTACCATTAAACTATTACTGTTCCTATCCTTTTTGTTTGGCCACTTTAGTGCAGTCTAGGTAAATTTGCAGCTTTCAAAAATGCCTAAATCTAAGTTTCACGTAGGTGGTTTCCAGTAGATGGAGACGTCACACAAGACTGCCCCGATTACAGTTGTATGTTTTCTAATTCCAAAAAACCCTCCTGCCTCGTCTCTCTCTCCCTTAAGGCTGGTTTATAATTCAGCGTCATATCTATGTGGAAGTGCCACACAGGTCACCAAATCATGAAAGCCTATCAGAGAACTGCTGTGCCTTGTGCTTGCCATCTACATGCACCTCGACCAAAAAATTATCGCGTGTTGAATTTCTGTGGAATGCAAGAGCTCTGATTGCTTGAACCACAAAGATTAGCTGTTCCAAGCCATTTTAATCAGTCGTCTGTATAAAGTTTTGCACGAAAATGTTGCTTATGAGCCTAATATGATAGTTTATTATCACAGTAAAAAAAAAAAAAAATCTGATTGAATAGTTTGGATTCCCATGACACATCTGGACCCTGATTTGCTCTGCAGAAGCTCATGTGGTTCATGTCTGCTTCAGGACATCAGCTCTCTGTTGAGTGGGGCCCTAAGCAGAACTATAAACCACCCTTTAGTCCTCTAGGTACTCCCAGTTTAGCAGCTCTATCTGAAATGTGGTTATGGGTAGAGTTTAGATGTTTAATCCCACTTTTATTAGGTTTTTGTTCCATAATAAACTTCCTTTTTTGTATTTCTAGCACACAAAACAGCCTGTTCCTCCCTGAAAACCAGTCTCGTTTGAGTGAGACTTTTGCTCGCGCTCATGAGATTATGGATGGGGATAAGAAGGCAGTGCTTGGTATATAACATCACCATTGTCTCTTCAGTGACTCAGGTTATATTTTTAGTGTTGTTAATGTCTTCCTCCTCTTAGGTATTACACAGCCTCTACTTGACATTTATGACTCTCCTGTTTGCAAAAGTAACCTGGAGCGTATGCAGGGCTTCTTCTCAACTGTGTACGACAACTGGTAAGAAGTGAATATGCTATTTAAGACTCTGCATACATCTCATTAAAAGTTTTATTAAAGGTGCCTTATGTAACTTTTCGGTTGGAGGGCAGTCACTATATTTGTAAGGATGTCATTGCTCTGCTTCCAATGTTCCACAATATGGCATTAAACAGAGATACCTTACATTTATACACTTACAGAAAACAGGTAGTCTGACTGAATGCAACAGCAGTAACTTCTCCATGGAGAAAAGCATTTGACGGACCCTCCACCAGAAAAGTTTCACAGTGCACCTTTAAAGCAACACCATGTAACTTTTTGTTAGCTGCACTTCACCTGCATGATTCTTTGAAAATAGGAAGTTCAAACCATTCTTTGGAACATTCTCCATATAGATAGTTATACACCATACAGTTTATCAGAGTGAGGTTTGTGGAGATGAGAGCCTTGTCACAGAAAGGGCGCATATTTTTCAAGGTTTTTAATGTAATAAAAGCATGTATAATGAAGGTATCTTTGGCCAAAAAGTTACACAAGAGGGAACAATATGAAATGAAATTAAGGTCAAATATAGCGGGTCCTTCCAACTGCTTGCTCTCATAGAGAATTAAATTGCCTGAAATGTTCCACAGTGTGGCAGTTAACTTGTCTATCTTGGTTTCATTGTACCGAAAAAAGCGTTACTTGATTGTCTTTATGGAGATAGACAAGTTTAATGCCATATAGTGGAACATTGTAGGTAACACAATAGCCTCTCCATAAAGACCTTCTACTAGAAAAATTATATAGTCCATCTTTTAAAACTGGGACCAAACTCAGAGCTAAACTAAGACTACACCAGGACTAGAACAGGACCAAACCATGTCTACATCAGGACTAAACTGGGCTTAAACCAAACTAGGACAGACATGGCATTTGATATCTACTATTCTTTTCTGTATACAATAAAGACTCCATTTTACAGCCCTTCCGTCCTCTCTCCCTCTCCTGCAGCTTCCATGCTCTGGGTAATGGAGGCCAGTCTCTGATGCAGGACTTCTACTCCATGGAGGGATTGTCTCAGGAGATCAGCACGTCTGTTTTTGGCACCCTGGATTATGTGCCTGATCACAGACTCCGCCCCATCATCCATATCCTTCACTTGCACTATTTTACATGTTTCAAACTTCTAACCCACAGTTACACTAGCTTCTTTCTGTTGCTGTTTTTCTTTAACTTCCTCACGTGTCTTCATGGCTAAGCTGGTGCAGTCGTGTCCTCCAGAGTATTATGAGAGCCTCTTGTGCCCCCTGCTGGGCCCTCTGTTTACCTACATGCTGCAGGTGAGAATTACAACCAAGCGAAGTACTGCTAAAAGTTTAAACTCAATGTGTGTGGGCAGATAATTTATGCATTTTATAAGGTCAAAAACCAGGGATCCATGTTTTTGTAAATAATTTATTAGATTAAATAACAATATGATTAAAGTTCAGATACAGACTAAAATGGTCTAACTCTAACTATGGTAAGAGTTAGTATTCATGTTTTCTTTCTTTCACAGAGACTGAGCTTAAAGTGGCAGGTCATCAACCAGAAAACTTTAAATGAGTAAGTGCTTGTTTTAGTTGTCATCATGATAAATAATAATTTAAATTTTTCTCTTTACTTGTACAGCATTTTTAGTTTGTATGAAAAATATTTTTGGTTGGAAAAGCCATAGCTTATGCCAGCACAGGGGTTTTGTTCATTATTACTGAGAAAACTAGCATTGAGCGCCCTCTGCTGGCAACAATAAGCATGGCAGCATCAACTTGAAATGAATTGTGCTGGCAGTTAAAGCACCAGTAGTGATTTGAACATGTGCTTCTATGTTTTAATAACCCTTTCAAATGCATGAATGAAAAAAAAATCACATAGTTTTTCAGATGCAAACAACATTGTACAATGTGGTTAAAATTAAACTGTTGTGTTGTGTTCTTGCTTCAGAGCGGAGGATGAGGAAGAGGTGCTTTCTCATGAGAGCCAGGTCACACAGGAGATGCTGGAGGAACATCTGGTTATTCTTGTCACCAGGGAGCTTATGGAGTTTCTATGTATGTTTGTTTGTCTGTCTTGACACTTTTTTGATCTCTTATAATGTAATTTCCTCATCAAAAACATACCTGGAATTGTGTTTTGTTTTATTCACATGTGTTTAACACACAAACCCTGCATTTTTGGGTTGTGTTAGTCTCTTAAATGTAAAACGCTTTGTTCCATCTTGTGATGTCATGTGGTAATACAGGAAGTATTCCATATTGCTTTTAATCTCCATACACCTCCATCAAAATCATTTGGATAATTTCACTCCTGGAATTAACAATTCTTACTGAACTAAAGGTAAAAAGTTACCACTTTGTGACATCACAAGATGGAACAGAGCATTTTGAGCTGTGGAGATGTAGACAGACTATTAATAAAGGATTAGTCAAACATGTGTGAATGAAACAAAACACAACTCCAGGTCCAAACAAACTCAAACTCCATGATTTAAAGCTCACAAGAATATGTAGGATCTTTAATTCAGTTTTAGTAGATGGTGATGTGTTGAAGCTAATGCTAAATGTAGAGTTATACATATATATACCTCCTCTGAAACCTTATCTACTTTTGACTATTGATCTCTGCTCCTTCTTCTAGCCATGTCTTGTGTTACAAGAAAAGTGCCTGAAAACAAAACCGAATCACACAAGGAAGAGGCTGATGGTGGGTGAAATACAGCTCTGTGTGTGAGCATGTACAAGAGGGATGCAACAATATATTTCTTATCTGTCTCTGATTATGATAAGATTTTTAGGAGAGACTCATGGTAGGAAACTGATCACAAGGTTGCAAGTGTATTGAAATTTAGCTACTATCATATAACATTCTCAGTATTTGAAGATAGATAGAACATTTGAATCTTAAATGTAAAAAAGTAAACGTGAAAGCAGCCAAAAGAGCTGATTAAAAATAAAAATGGAAAATATACATTAATATTACACTTCTAATTAACAGTACAAAGTGATAATTCTGCTCTTTTGTGGCTAATTTTATAGTCCTTTTCCATTTGTCCATAGTCTTGGGAAAAGTATGTATGTAATATTTTTGGTGTGGCATTAAACTGGGCTAAGTACTATTCATTCAATTGCTTTTAAAACGGGTCTTTCTGTGAGCTTAGTCACCTCACCATAGATCTGGCCTATGACTTGGCCTGGTGGAATCTCCTTAATGACTCAATGGAGATAGATGAAGTATAATGGCAAAAGTTATATAGGGCTTCTTTAATTATTCTGGAGACAAAAAGAGTGCACAATTGCGTCACAGTATTTGCAATTATTTATCATTACTACAATATACTGGTTGATTATAATATTAAAGTGAATGTTTGTTTATTTTTGTCCTCAGAGGATGAAATGATGACGGACACTGTGCAGGCAGTGAGCTCCGCTCATTCCACAGAGCTGACTGAACTGGGCAAGTGCTTAGTCAAAAATGAGGTCAGTCTTCCACGTTGATTTTTTTTAAAATTATTTTTTATTTATTTTTTTGATTGCAAATAATAATACATTCTTTTTTGTGTTTTATTTTCTATCCAGAACATCTACATGAGCTTGCTGACTCTTGCCTTCACGGCCATCTCATGGAAAGACACCACCATCTGTAACAGGACTGCCTCTCTGGTGTGCTGGACTCTGCTGCGACCGGTAATACAAATAGGCAAAAACAGTTTACAGGTACCTAAAATGTCCCTTATATAAATGGTGCTTTTGTTCCTGGTTGGTTTCTTGTAGGCCACTGTTGGTAACCTCCTCCCAGATGCAGTCACATGGTTCTTCACCAGTGTTCTGAGGGCTCTGCAGGTGCACGGGCAGCATGAAGTCTGTAACAATACTCTGAATCAGCTCGCCATGCTCATCTACGAGAGCCTGGTAAGTCAAATAAGTGTTTTCATTTGTTACAACCCAGTTATAACCTAGGGTAGAATTGAAGTAACATAAATAACCAAGATGTTAAATGGTGAATATTAAGTGGCTATTTATTATTTAACGTCAAGTTTTTATATAAATAAATAAAAATGTTTTATATCAGAAAGGGACTCTCAAATAAAGTGTACAGTGATGAATTAAAATGAAGTACAAGTGCTCGGAGGCCAAGCCAAAGTGGCAGTCACCCAAATCAGTAACCAGTAATTACCTAAATTAAAGTCAACAGGAGGCATACAAGGGACGCATCTAGTTCAGAACGAGGAAAGTTGACACTCTAGGCAGGTGCAGACAGGGGATGGGAGGAGCAGGAAGCCAATACTCCAACCACTGCAGCAGGAGTCAGGACTGCTTGGATGCACTTTGAATTACTTTGTGTATGAATTGTGCTATACAAATAAACTTGCCTTGCCGGAGATGGGGGCACAACCTGCAAAAGGCAGATGTTGGTGAAAAACAAATGGGGAGTGCAGGCAAGGCGGGCCATAACATCATTATCTTTTGTTTAAAATATGATTTAAAATGAGACTAAACACACTTTTCACACACAACCACATTTCAAACAGAGCTGTTTAAATGGACCAAGCCAGGAGTACAAAAGGATAGAGGGATGAAGTGCAGGGTCTGGAGGACTAAAGGGGGAGCAAATTTACACCCAAATTTACAATTGGCTCCAATCACCACAAATCTGCAATCTTACTTGGATTTGGTTGCCAGAGATTCAGAATACAGACTTTTTCCATGACTTAACATGCAAGTCTGATCACTGGTTCAGATGTTCATAATTGACATGTAGAGTAGCCTATCAGGGACACACATGGTCTTTCTATAAAAAAAATAAAAATACTACTACTATAATGCATAATCTTATCTGGTAGTGATTTTGTGTTTTGTTGAATTGCAGCGCCCTCGTTACACTGAGCTGAGAACCGTCATGACACAGGTGCCCGACATCAACATGGAAGCTCTGGATCAGTACGACCAAAAACTGCTTGACCCCAAAGCCCAAAAACCCGGAGAGAAGAAGAGGAAAGACCAATTCAAGAAGCTCATTGCCGGAACCATTGGGGTAATAATTGACTTAATTATTTCAAATGGAGCACAAGTCTATGGGGAATTCAGTGTTTAAATAGCCATTATAACTATTTTCTAATCCAGTTTATAATGGTTAATCATCAAAAAACATGCCTGGAGTTGTGTTTTGTTTCATTCACACATGTTTAAACACACAAACCTTGCACATGCCATATAGGAAGTGCTCCACTGTGTTTTTAAAAACTCCACACACCTTCATTAGAATCATTTGGATAATTTAAGCCCTGGAATTGTCGTTAACTTGCATTCTACCCTAATCACAGAGGGAATTATTGTATTTTTGAGCAATAGAAACACCCATGATGAATAAATGCTTGATGGATATGTTTAATGTCATACCATGGAACATTCTAGGCAAAGCAATAACATCTCCACCAGTTATGAAAACTGTTGCTCATGTCCAACGAGGAAGTAAAATTACCAACTTGTACAAAGGCAAACCAAAATTAGATAAAATCTTATAGAATTATGTTGACTACATTTGATTACAATATTTTATTAAATATTCTAACCAGCCATATGCTCTTCTGAATCTTGGCAGTTTCAAATGCTCGGTCATCACTGAACCCAACCTCTAGAGGGCAGTATTTCACCTGTAATACAACTTCCACAGCTCAGATTGTGTTTCGTTGTGGTTGGATCGGGACTAGTTTTTGGCCGTAACTTTAACACGTTTTCTGTCTTTATCTTGTCAACAGAAAGCTCTATGCCAACAATTCAGGAAGGAAGTCCATATTAGGAATCTCCCGACTCTGTTTAAAAAGCCGAAGGAGGAGAAGGACATAGTGCTGCAGAGTGAGGTGCTTGGTCTGGAAGCTCTCTTCGCTCCAACTGCAGACGAAGCCCTGTAAAAGGAACTAAAGGGACATCTCACAGACTGAAAAAAAACGAGTAGATTTTTCATTTTATTTTAATTTTCTTCAATTCAAAGTCTGTATATGTTAGCTTTTGTATCTCGACATTGCAAAGCTTTAGTCCTGCTGAGCTATGCGTTTTTTTGGGGTTTTTTTGCGGCTACATTCTGATCTTAAGAATGTAACTGCAACTGGTGCGTAGTGAAATAAATATGATAGTAAATATTGATGGACACATTATTGCAAATATACAAAAAAAAAATTAAAATTAAAATTCTACTAATTATACTCAAGAACATTTCAGAGTTTGAAAACAGATTCACACAACCAAAACTGGTTATAAGCATGCGGAACAAAACAAAACAAAAAAATTACAGGGACATTTTTTAAGTAATATTATGGAAAAAAATTACTGTTTCGTTTTTTACAAATTTACTTTTTTGTATTTGTAAGTGATGAATTTCATAATGGCTTACTTTATAAAGAATGTTATGTCCATGAAGGTTTAAACAGTATTCATGTCTGTTATCGAAATTAGAAGAGTTGTTACAAGCTTGTATTGTACAGTGTAGCAACATAAGCTAACGAAGCTGCACTAACCCAAGTATTTCCCGTTGACTTTGTGCACAGTTCGTCTCGTACTAATATTACGGCCACTTTTTGTGCCAGGTTTCTGTAAACCATAACACAGTGATTCAATCTCTCAGAACACAGTAGTAGTAGTGAAGCAAATAAGCACTACATTCCTTATAGTTGTACATTTTTTGGAAGCATCTTGAAATGGAGGTGTTCTTTATACTGTATGTTGCCATATCCGCACCTTCCAAGCTCACAGAGGAGTTATTGAGTCAAATGCTAATCTTACTTCTAACTGGTTGATTGAAATGTCATAATATTGTCAGAAATGTATTTGAACTGAAGTGTTGTCCACAGTCATAAAGGCTGTCCACATGCGACTGATGGATTTTAAGTAATGTTCAACACTAAAATGTCTGTACACAAATACAGAAGTGGGTTTCTTTAAGACCTATTTTGGAAGTTTAACAATTTCTATTTCGTTTTTTAAATAAATGTTTGAAAATGATTCTGCGTGTCCCCTTTTTATACTTTTCTCAATCATTCTCAGATTATATTAAATTATTTTAAAAATTCAACATAAACCTGAGTTTTCTTGTGACATTTATTGAGCTACAAATGTGTTGATATGACATATAATATATTCTACTGATAAAACTAAAGAAGTAAAACTAAAGCAGAAGTAATGAGGTAGGTTGCTGACCACTCACGCCAGTAGGGGGTGCTAAAGGAGGGTGTTCGTTTGTAGGAAGGATCCCACCCATCTGCCTGTCCAACATTCACACTTTCAAGAATCACAAACATCCACAGAAAAAAAAGGTATTTCTGAAAACATACTGGAAGCCTCTCATTCAGGCCTGCGTGAGGCATTAGACAACAATCCCTAACCTTATTCTATCTATTCTCTTGACTCAGTCATAGACCAATTAGGCCCATTAACCCTCGAGCCTCAAAAGGCACGTCTATCACAGTTCCTGTGTGTTTGGAGGCGACAGTAGCGCTCTAATTTACCGCTCATTTCTGTTTGTCAAAGCTTTCCTGGGAAAAAAAACAAAAAAAACAAAATTTAAACATATGAAGATTAGTCATTTCATGAGTGAGTCACGCTCTGACCCAGGCCCGCTGTTTGTCGGGTGATTGGCAGGTGAATGACAGGTGATTGGCAGGTGATTGGCAGGTGATTTTAGCGCGGTTTTCTAATGAGTGCGAGCACACAGGTGCGCACGCACGCTGCGGCTGCTGCGTCAGTGGAAGTGTCCAGAGGTGGAAACACGTGCGCGTGGTGTTGCCTGTAGTGAGAGATGTTGGTCCTGCTGTTTGTCACACTGTGTTTGTCGGTGTGTTCTCTGACCACCGCTCAGACGATGACCGGACAACCACGAGACATCTCCACCCGGAACTCCAAGGTTTGGAGAGCGGCGCAGTTCGCCGTCCGTGATTTCAACCACGCGCACAACCACCAGCCCTTTTCATACAAGATCCTCAGCGTCACCTCGGCCAAGGTTCAGGTGAAATAGCTGACACAATCATCGGTTTGGCTGCTCGTTAAAAACAAAATGAAAAGTGACTCATTGTGTGCAGGTGGTGGCGGGAATAAACTACATTATGGAGGTGCAGCTCAGACGTGTGTGCAAGAAAGAGCTCACAAAGAAGTGCCAATCCACCCCTGAGGTAGGACCATGGCATATATACAGTGTGTGGGTAGGCCTGATGACAGGTGGTGGTAGGCCTGTTGCAGGGCAGGCATCAAACAGCCAAGTCAAGTGCTGTGTGCCTCTTGCAGATTTGCAGTTCAATACAAGATTGACTCATTACAATTTTTTTTTCAGGAGCTCCACTGCAGTTTCACCGTCACAGAAATCCCTTGGCAAGGCAAACGTTTTGTTTATCGCAGAAACTGCGTGCCCCAAAAACATTTCTAATAAACTGTACTGGTATGTATGCCAAGTAAACCGCCATTATTGTCTTCTTGTGTCCAACATGGATTACTGAGGCTTTTCAAAAGTGCTTTATTCTGTCTTTTGTGTTCATAAGAGTGCAAGTCCTTGTCCTTTATTGTTCTAACGCTGGGCTGAATATGTCCGGTGACCTGCACTCATCACTGTATTGTATCAGAATTCCAGAATATTCCAGAGTCTCCCCTCCCCTGAGTGTTCGGGCTGCTCCAGACACGTGCTCCCACATCCTCCACACCCTCGTACAGCAGAGGGGGACTGACACATTTACACTATAGGGGGATTTACATGTTCTGTCCATTCATTTTATGTACAAAACTTAAACCTCGACTAGTATTTGCAGTCATGTTTAGTAAATTTCTGCCTCTCCTTCAAAAATTAGATATAGACACTCCACAAAACTATACCCTCTCGCTCTGTCTCTGTCTGTACACTGCTCCCTCCACGTGGGTTGCGTGTCTGGGATTACAGTATTTTCAGATTACCGCTCAGTGAGACCCAACTGTCTGCTTCTCTGACCCCCTTTTTATGTGGGGAACACAACCTGCCAAAGCCCTGCTGTACATCATCAGAATAATATTGATTAAAGTGTGGGGTTCAGCACGTACCTATAACAGTGTTTAACAGATACTAAAATTTTAAGTTTGATTTTGATACTAAGGAATAGACTTGATATTCAATACTGATTCTGACACCAAGATGATAAAAAAATATATATATACTCTTTAATCTGAATGTAACTTTTGATAACCCTATCTTTTCCAATAATAAAAAAAAATAAAAATCCAAAACACATTTCAAATTTGTTTTCTGGTATATAAAATCACACATAAGTCTGCTGTTATAATTAAATTAAATCATATCGCGTTCGTTACATTAGTTTAATCTCCCGATATGCGCAAAAGTTGACACAAAGCAAAATGGCGGGACAATGTGGCGTGTTTACAGTAAATAAGTGCGTTGGCGAGCAGTTGACACCCACCCTCTCGCCCACAATGCCCCATCGCACAGATCTTAATCAGAACTGAGGGAAACGGGCAGAACTGACTGGCACGGGGGGATTAGAAGTTTGGGGGTTTGGAAGGTGGGGGAAGGGATGCGCTTAAGTGTGGACAATGACGAACATGGAAGTGCCAGGACGATGCCCCCTCCATCTGCCACGGCGCGCCCTACCACCTACCACCTACCACCCTCAGACCCACTCCCAGGTGCCTGTATTTGTGTGCGTGTGTGTGTGTGTGCGCCCGCTCTCTGCCCTGTCCTCACTTAGCCTGGGCAGCAGATGGCGAGGGGTAAGGCTCCTGCTGCACCCTCCTCTGATGCCCCCTCCTCTGCTGCACTCTGCCCCACGCCACCAGCCCCTCAGCCCCTCTCCCCAGTACCCAGCCCAGTCCTCTTTGTGCAGTGGGTGCTGAAAGGAGAGCCCCGGCCTGCCCCCCCCCCTCCTCCTCCAAATCCCTGGCCGGCTGCCATTGGCGGGACTCAGTCAGGTGTCCTAATGCTTCAGTTAGGGGAGGAAACGCTGCTTAATCTGCCCATCGCGTGCCACTGGCCCTGGCCCTGGCCTCTTTGTGTCTGGCACCCCTCTGATCATCTCCACCCTTCATCTGCCCGTCCCCCTCCTCTCCCCTCACCCCCCTGTGCCTGTGCGGACCAGTCTGTGCCCCAACACGCTGGTGTCATCTCCCCTGGCCTTGTGCATCCTGAATGAGCTACCTGCAGTTTACCTCAGTGCCTACTAGAACTGGGAATCACGGGGTCCTTCATGATTCGATACGATACTTGATACATGGCTTATAATATGATATTATCAAGATATGTGGTTACATGTGATAATCAGTATATTGCACATGATTTGCTGTTTTTTAACAACCAAATACATTTTAGCAACAATATTTCTTTGTTAAACCACTACTTGTGCAAAGTTAACATGAAATACATCTATTTTAATAATCAAAACAGTAAAAAAAATTGCTAAAATATACCAAAATATATACCCATGATGATATATCGGTACAGCAGCCCACGATAAAGACACTGTATCATCAAATTTAGTATCACGATATATCAAGATTTCAATATTTTGGCACACCCCTTGTATGCACTGGTATATTTTACTAAATTATTTTGTGACAGTGCTACAATTTTGATGTATGTTCAGAGAAAGGACACTTGTTTATGCAGTTACACTTGACATATTCACTGTTTAATGGTTACACTTGGTTTATTCCATTTTGACTTTGCACAGGTAGTGGTTCAAAACAAAGAAATACTATTGTTAAAGTGTATTTGGTTCTTAAAAATAGTTATATATATTGTAGAATATCATGTGCAATATATCAATTATTGTATGCGTTGCCATATTGTGATAATATCGTATCATGAACCATGTAGTGTATCAAATCACGAGGAACCCAGCGATTCCGAGCCCCAGTGCCAACATTCAGAACGGTGGAGAAACGTGTAGTTCTATTCCATATACAGCTGATTTATGGTCAATTCCTTGGTCACAAAGACATGGAATAAATAAGGTAGATTTCCCCTAACATCTGAGCAGGCCTCAGGTGTGTGCAAATGAGAAGGTTCTAGCTTATGGTGCAGTATTCAGATCCTGGATTTTTAATGATACAAAGCCCCTATAACATCTGTGTTCTGTCCAGTTTGTGTTGGTGCGAGGCCTGTTAATATCTTTAATACGAAATGAATGGAAGATGAAAAAAATGTTTGGGGATCAGTTTTTATCGTGGACATTTTCTTTGTACTACTGGAAAATTTGTGGTTATTTTTTGGCAATAAGGTATGAGCCGTAAAAGGTTGAATTAATAATTTTTATGACTCATTACAGACAAACTAAGTACACAGCTATTTCATTTTACTATTTATTGATTGTGACAGCGTGTGTTTTTTTATTTTTATTTTGTAGATTTAGAATCATTTTTGTGGTTTAAATCTGCTCTTGGGTTTTTGTGTCAGTGGTGTAAATTAGTTTCAGTATTATTATTATATAATCATCTATAATTTCTTAAGGAGTACATCATGCTTCAAAATGTGTTATTGTGACAGGCCTAGCTGATGCATAGAGCACGTTTTCTGCCAGTTGCTCACTTTGGGCTGAGTCATTATTGGCCCCATACTGTGCAAATGTAGATTACAGAGAGGTGGTTACAGCAGCATGCGCACATCTGTTAAAGGGGGTCGGCTGTTTATTTACAGCCTCTCTTGTACCTGATGCTCATAACTGGAAGAAGGGCTACTTCAGTGTCTAGTGTTCTGTTAAGACAATAACAGACAGAAATGAAAGCACCTCTGCAGTCACCAGCAAATCACCCTGACAGCTGCCTTCATTTATTTAGCAGGAAATGGCAGTTTGTGGGTGCTTTGGTGATGTCTCTTTAAAAGTGTATGTTTAATAGTTTGGTGTAATTTTCTGATCTATTGTGTAATGTCCTCATCACAAACATACACATTTTTTTTTGTTTCATTCACACATTTTTAACACACAAACCCCACATATTTAGGCTGATCTTCTTTTCTCAACCTGAAAAAACACTTCCACCGTATGTTGTTATGTATGATGTTATGTGGTAATACAGGAAGTGCTCCACTGTGTTTTACAATCTTTAATGAACTAAGGGTAAAGAGTAGCTGTAAACTTGAAAACTACAGCTTCATGACATAAGGTGGAGCAGAGCAGTTTGAGCTTTGGAGATGTGAACAGACTAAAAATAAAGGTTTACTAAAACATGTGTGAGTGAAACAAAACACAACTCCAGGTCTGTTTTTGATGAGGTAACAACATTTGAACATGACTACAAGCTTTGTGTAATCCAGGACCTTTAAATACATTTGTGTATGTCTATGACGCCTTCATTCTGACAAATACATTTCTAGATGGCTACAATATTTTCAAGCGTTTTGTGAATGAAAGAAAATGCGACACTTTTTCCACAATAAATGGGCGTAATCATAAACTCCACTTGTTCTGGAAGCTTGTTTTGATAGGTTTGTTTTGGTAGTGGCCCTGTTTTATGTGTGTGTGTGCATGGAGCTCTTCTCATTTGTTTGAATTATATGTGTGCTCTCTTGCAGGAGCCTGATACGCTGCTGTTACGTAACCAGAGCAGAGGTCATTACCATTTGACCCCTCCTAACCCCTCCTTTTGATTGACCCTGGGTTTGGTCACCTCTTAAGGGTAAAGGTCAGAGTTCAAAGTGTCCTCAGCTGTGCTACCATGGAAACGGCAGCAGTTGCTCTTCCGATGGTCAGTTTGGATACGAGCACAGTGGGTCATGAGTAGTGTGAGGTTTCACTTTGAAAATTAACTATTTTAATCTTTTTGCTTCTTTTTAAGATCAGTAACACCACAGTGATGTAAAGTTAGTAGATGACTTTACAGTTACTACATTATCCAATATTAATTTGCAAATGCTATAGCAGTATTTATTACATTAAAAAAACACAAAATGTAATGTATAAAGTTGGAAGAAATCCTACTTGATTCCACTCAATTTTGCCATGCTATAAACCCAGCTGCGGTCAGTTTGTCCACTTCCTGTTTGTGATGGGTATCCTCACAATCAGCGCTGTGATGGGGGTGGGACGAGGAACCAAGGAAATCAATATTTTCAATGTAACGTCCGGCCAATGGAATAACAGGGTGATTTATGTATAGCTGGTGGCTTCTCCCAATCAGTGGGGGTTTGTGCACTGGTTCTGCTCTTTGTGTTTTATGCGTTTGTGTCTTACATTTTTTTTAGTTTCCTGGTCTTGGTCAGGTCTCAACGCACTGTGCCTGTCCTGCCTCATGTGAGCTGTGCACTGTCCCACTCCAGAGGGAAGTGAGCGAGAGAGACCACCAGCCAGGGCAGCATATGTGCCTATGCTGTGAGACGACGGGGCAGAGAGGAGCGGACGGGGCAGAGAGCAGAAGAGAGGAACAGGCACAGGGCACCAGAGTTTAGCCACAGACTCTGTAGTGAAGAGCAAAAACGTGGACAAGT